ACTATCATTAAGTGAAATAATTAAGTGAAATTTCTTTAACAACTGAAAGGAATTCCGATCAGACTATGCCTTTCCGCTGAATCTTTCGAGAACTACTCTACTTTCCACATGCCCTTGACGCCCCACATTCATCAGCCCGATTTATTTCTAGTCATTAGCGTGAATCCGAGGGGAAAGAGAATGGAGGGACGTCAACCTCTCGCTTGAACTCATCTTCACCGCGATATTTCTTGACGCATCTCTGTTGAACCGAGGAGATTATCATCAGTGTGAATTATACTGAAAGGCCGGGTTATGTAAGAAATGATTTACTCTTTTACTGAAATAAGCGGAGGCCTCGGGTCAATTCGGGTCAATCCAGTCTTCAAGATTCATTTATTATTCAATTCCCCGCACAATCACCGGGAATTGGGTAATGGTATTAATAGAGAGATTTGGGGTTATAATAATTCGATGACGGGAGCCGCAGATGTACTGGCCATCTCCAACGGGACCCGCGGACCACGTGTATGTTGTCTCGAATTCTCATGAATAATTCATGAATCGGCCGGTTGGTTGTGGAGTTGGTGGCCGCGGTCAGCAATGTCAATTGAATAAGTTACTCGGGGAGAACGAGTGGGCGGCTGGAACGCGATGTATCAGGCCACTACCGAAATCCTTGGGAATTATCCGTTAATTAACAGCGATTGGGATTGGGGGTGCAATGTTACAGGAGAGAAATGTTGGATAAATTTCCCTAGAAAAATGTGGCAAATTTTACTGTGTAAAAGGTAATCGTGGAGCGAAATTTAATTCAGTGAAAAAATACCTGTTTGTGGAGGATATTTTACGATTCGTTCGGTAAAAAAAACATCTATGGATTCAAAAATTATCCTCCAATATAGTAAAATTTCCCACTGCGGTAGAGTATTTCTTTTCATGCACTCATCTGAAGGTCATGGGTTTGAGGCCATTGGACAGGTGGATTCAAGGTATGAAATTGCAACTATTCTGAGTATCAGGAGAATTTTTCAGTCATGATTACAATAATATTGAAATCTACTCATCACTAGTTTTGTATTTCAAGAAAATTTATTGGGTATGAGATGTCAATTAGGGAGGTTATGACAACCTGAGAATAGAGACGCCACCGCAAGGTGGCGCAGTAGCCGAATACGAACACCCACAACTCTCCATCTGTATCTCTACGTTTAGAAGAAGAGGCGTAACTCGGGGGAATGATTCAATGAGGTCTATCTTGGAATTCCAATTTAAATGGACCTAACTTAATTTTGTGGTTTAATACGATCTTATTCAGTTCCTTCCGTAAAAAAACACTATACAGAGAAAAGTTAGATAAAAATCCCCTAGAAAATAGTGGCAAATTTTACTGTACGAACGGTCATCGTGGAGCGAAATGTAATTCAGTGAAAAAATACCTGTTTGTGGAGAATATTTTAGGATTTTATCGGTTAATCCTTCAGAACTCGCGCTACAAGCGCCGCGCCGCCTTTTTCAAATTTTCGCTTGCCTCTTGCAAAATTGAGCTTTCAAAAAATTGAAAAAATTAGAATGCCTAGCTTGAATCATTTAGAATGGATTAGCAAGGTTCTTATCCGCTGAAAATCCATCAAGGCTACGAAAAATAATAAATTGTTGAGGCTCATACGCAAAAGCGGCGCTGTGCCGCCCAGCGCGAGTAACGAAGGATGTAAAATTTTCAATTCCGCTGTTGCTGTTTCCCGCTCGCCGCACGCTCGGCGCGTACCTATGAACGTGACAACGCTGCGTTACTGAAAGCACGGGCGGCGCAGCGCTCACCACGCGAGTAACGAAGGTCGGTGGCTGAGCGCAAGTTCTGAAGGGTTAAAAAACACATCTATGGGTGCAAAAATTATTCTCCTGTATAGTAAAATTTCCCACACTGCTAGGGTATTTTTTTTCACTGCACCCATCTGAAGGTCATAGGTTTGAGACCATTGGACAGGTAGATTCAAGGTATGAAATTGCAACTATTCTGAGTGTCAGGAGAATTTTTCAGTCTTGATTACAATAATATTGAAATCTACTCATCGCTAGTTTTGTGTTTCAAGAAAATTTATTGGGTATGAGATGTCAATTAGGGAGGTTATGACAACCTCAGTATAGAGACGCCACCGCAAGGTGGCGCAGTAGTCGAATACAAACACCAACGGCTCTCCATTTGTATCTCTGCGTTTAGAAGACGAGGCATAACTCAGGGGAATGATTCAAAGTGATTTATCTTGGAATTCCAATTTAAATGGATTTAACTTAATTTTGTGGTTTAACAAGGGTCTTATTCAGTTCCTTCCGCAAGAAAACACTACATGAAGAGAAAAGTTGGATAAAAATTACAAAGTAGTTAGAAGCAGAAAATTGTGATAATTCAATTAATAGAAAGTTTAAGAATGTATTCACTGACATTTTTCTGATTTATATTAATTTTTATTGGATAATTGAACTGAAATTGTAAGTTTTCAGTAATTTTCCCATAAAATTTTGAATTTTCAATGACGAAGATTCTTAAAATGTCGGCGAAATTATAATGTGATAAAAGTGTTTTAGAAATGAAGAAGAAACTTCGAATGAATATACTCATGTCCCAACACCTTCCGCAGCTTCAATCATCAAATTTGATAATTAAATTACGTGAGAAGAACTTCAAAATATCCATTGATAATCAAGTTGTATCCGAACGATAAAACGAGCTGAATTTTCTCAATTTTCCCTGATTTTCACTGGATAATTTAACTAAAATACATAATTTTCATCAATTTTTTCATAATTTCCTGATAAATTCAATGGAATTTGTGATTGTTCAATGAAAAAATTCCCTAAAATTTCAATACAAATATCAATCATTTAAAATTCTCGTGATTTGACCCAGAAAATGTATATTAAAATTTTCAATCTTCACTTTATTTCCGCTTAAAACTCCCAAAAAACTCATTTGAGTTGGAACCCAAGTTTTTTAGAAGCTCATGATCCGTTGGTGGTGATATGAAGCCCGCGTTATCACCCGATGTTATCAGAATATGGCCCCAGGGGAATAGAGAAAGAGTGAGAGATAACTCCACGAATTCTTTCAACGCTTTAGTTTTTGGTGTGGTACATCGAGAAGATTCCCCTTCTCGCGTGAAGAATTAATTATCGACAGGACGTATTTAACAATGTATCGATGTATTTTCATGAATCGTTTACAACTACTATTCAAAATTCAATTCCTTTCAAATACGCAACAACTCGGAATGCCAGAATTACTGCGAAACCACTCATTGTTCTGTACTATTGTTATATAGACCAAACCACGCGTCTCGTGATCAACGATCTGTCCACAAACATCGTGTCACTCGGATTCCTTCATGGCGATCTATTGTTGACTCTTTCACTCAACCTGAACTCACTCCAAGTCATTGCGAGGAGTTGCATCATCCTATCTTTCATCGTTATGCCACGATTTGCTGCGTGTGATTCAGCGAAGTTAATGAATCATTACTGAATATTTAATGATATTTCCTGTTAATATTGCACTGCCCTCGTGACAATTAAGGGGAGACTACTATGAGTTTTACAAGTCGTGAATTATTGGAGTGGCACTTTTCATACGTTGAAAAGCGTCTATATAGATTTGAAAACGAATAATTAGTGCAAAACAAATTTTTTTTATTGTTCATTTGCCCGAAAACGCTTAAAATTCCAAAAACAGCCCAGGGCCTCCAATCTTTGAACTACGAAGGATTTTTTTTGTTCAAAATCTTCGGACAAATATGCGGAATAACAATTACGAGCTATTTTTTTTTAATTCGCCTGTTACATGGCTAAATTTTATTTTTTAAAAATTTTTTCCACAAATAGAGAATGTTTTTATATGAAACTGGATCGTAATTGTTGTTCCACACATTTTTCCGGAAATTTTGAAAAAAAAAATTCTTGTAGCTCAAAAATTGGAGGCCCTGGTCTGTTTTGAGCATTTTATGTGTTTTCGGGCAAACGAACAATAGAAAAAAAATTTTTTGCAATCATTATTCGTTTTCAGATCTATATAATCGATCTTCAACGTATGAAAAGTCTCACTCCAATAACCCACAACTTTTAAAACTCATAGTAGTCTTCCCTTAAAGAGAACCATCTGACGTTTTACTCCTGCAGGAATTTAAGGATATCCAAGTATCTTTTATAGTTTGGTACTGACCACATTGTAGATTCAACCATTTTCAATCGTCAAATTTGTCAATTACGTTGCGTGAGAAAAATTTGAAAGAAATCATGAATATTCAGCGTCATTAAAATTACATTTTGCATAGAATCATCTTGTTTTTCATATTCATTGTTTATGAATCCTTTTTTAAAAAATCCAGTGTAAGGTTTTTTGATGCCTCCATTGCGTTATTTTAGCAATGCCATAATATAATATTACTACATTACTATATATATTATATATCCTATATATATTATACTATACTATGGCCCGGTTGCACCAGCTTCGGGTAACGAAAACGTCAGATAAGAAAAAAAGTAAATTTGGATATTCGATGGATTATTTTACTCGGGAGAGTATCTCAAATTTATCCCAGGAACAAAAAATAAAATTTAGCCGGGCAAGAATATTATAAACATTATCTATGAAAAAAATGCCGACAATCGTAAGAAAAACCTGTTTTCTAGGAATTTACCGTCCGCTCTCGTCGTTTCTAGTCCGTTTTCTGATGATAACGTGTTCACATTAACTCGAAGATAACTTGAAGACACAATCCTCACATCCGGAAAGGCTTCGCAAAATTCCAAAATAAATAAAAGCTGTGAATCATCCAGCATTACTGCTGATCAATCCTCCGCGATATCTTGAGTCACCAATAATGCGCGTCTGGCCAAGCGGCGACTCGCAAATTTTCAACCTGACGATTGCAGATTCACGCCGCCAGGAATCTGATTACTCCGCTAAATTATATCCCCAATGTTTGTCATCAAATTAGTAATGACAATATTATTATTTGTTGCAGTACTGGTTGGGTCACGTCACGTAGTGACTTTCATGCTGTTCTTGGGGATGGCCAATGCCTATGTGATGAGGACTAATATGTCAGTGGCTATAGTTGCGATGGTCAATCACACGGCGATCAATGAGGAGCATGACGTTGTGGTCAATGAGTGCGGAACTAATCCTAATGACACGGAGGATGCACATGATCCGGTAATTATAACACACTTGATTTTGATTCGGGGTCTTTTACCCCTTTATTAATAGTTTTTTGAACGAATGTTTTGAAAAGAGGACCAAAGGGTTTTAATTTAAAACATTATTTGTCCCTGTGCGGGGGAGTGATGACTAATTTTCCGAGGATTACACGTATGAAGAACATTAGTAGAAAAATTGAATGCTTTTTATAAGAAATTTGGTTGAACTTCTATTGGAATTCTACAAAAATTCTATTGAAATATTCTAGTCAGTTTAGGCTTTCGAATGGAAGCTTTGTAATCGCTGAAATTTAAGTTTCCAATTTTTTGCGTTCCATTTTTTTAGAAATTTTCTCAAAAGGGATGAATCGAATTTCATGAATTTTTTCATGAATATAGACTTTAATAAGCTCTATTCACTGACACCAACTAATATTCAATTTTTCATACAGATTCAAAAAACTGATATTTCCAAAAATTGATTTTTCACCGATGACTCAAAAAATTGACATCAAAATGGAATTAGTCATGGCTCAAAAAATTGATAACAATACCCTCTTGATTCTATCAGAATATGATGGGGGTCGCAGAATTCGTTGATGAGTTACGGCACATTGTTTATGCGTTTTGGAAGAGAAAATCGGTTTTTTCATGATTACTGAAAGAATCATCAGTAATAGCAATTAAATAAGGGCTTGAAAAGTCTATTTCAATGGCTTCTTAATCAAGTTTGAAAAATGGTGAGAACAGCATCATTGCTTATCTAAATCTTTATCTCTATTAAACTCCGGTAGCAGTCTATTATGTTGAATACCTATTCATATTGATTCATTGTCCCGACTAACTTCTGACAGAACCTGGATTAAACTCTGGCTAAATCCTGAATAAACCCTGGTTAAATCCCGGCTATACACTGATTAAACCTTGATTGAACCTTGATTAAACCCGGACTGAAAACGAATTTGAGTCTTGAGAGGGTCTGAATGTAGAATTATTTGCCAGAACCAAATAATACGCAAAATTTTGATGACATTTCAATTGATGATAGTACTATGACATGAAAAAATAGAAGAAGAGAATAGTGAAATAAGAATTTCAAAACGAGAACCCATTCAGAAGCAAATTGCTAATTTATTAGCAATAATAGCTATACCCATTTATTAAAAAAAATGAAATTATCCCCTTGTTTCGCTAATATTCATTTTTCTATCCAACTCATTTTGTTGGGATTTTTTCTGTAAGAATTCTTGTGCATAATTTTCCCAAGTTTCTTTTCTTGGAGTTTATTATGAGCTGCGATAATTGATTTCGAATTAAATCATGTTACGTAATACTTGAAACCATGAAAATCGGTCCAATCATCGTTGTAATCACGTGAAATCAACGTCGTTTCAAAATTACGCTGTCCCTGAATTATGAAGTGAATACCCCTTCCATTTTTCTGAAGCAATCTTCTCTCAGTGTTCCGAGATATCTCGTATTTACAAAGCTGCAGCACTTCCCAGCTGTTCCAATATTAATTAATATCATCAACAACAAAATCCAAAAGAATTGATTGATTCGTCAATTGCAGTCTGCCGATGGTGAATACGAATGGAACTCAACGAAACAAGGCTACCTCCTCAGCTCATTCTTCTACGGCTACGTACTCACACAGATACCATTCGGTATACTTGCCAAACGATATGGATCCAAGTACTTCCTCGGTGTTGGTATGCTGATAAATTCACTGTTTGGACTGCTTGTACCGATATCCGCAAAGTGGGGATTTGGTTGGCTAGTTCTTGTCCGATTTATCCAGGGTCTGGGAGAGGTAAGTACAGGCATTCGACAAATATGACAAGAGCAATCACCCGTGAGAATTGGTGAGAAATCGGGAGGGGTCCTGTATGTATGTGAATTCAATTGGGTGGGAATTGTTCTTCTTATCGACTGAATTTCCGCAAGACTAAGTACAAAGTAGAGATCCTAAAAAATTGCTGATTGTAGATTTTGAGTATTTTTGAAGTAGTAGTGCTATTAATTCTAGTCAGTGTCCAGTAGAGTTGAAAGGAAATTATCAATTTTAGGTTGAATGGGGAAATGTGGGAAGCAGTGGAAAGAACATTTGTTTCAATCACTGGCATTATCAAAAATATTTGTTTTCCATATTTGCATATTCCCTCAGTCAACATCAGTGGAGACAAGGGGAAACAATCACAAATTTACCGAGAACATACCTGTGGTTGACAACTCTATCCATCTTTGCGTGGGCCCCCTAACGTCGATCTAATTTCTTTCATATTGAAACCGATATTTAGACGATAAATGGTAGAATAGTATATTTCGATACGATTGGGATTATATCACTCGCCTTCAGCTCGTGCTATAAATCTCTCACGAGCCCAAAAACACTTTTCCCGCGAGTATCGAACACTATTTTTCATCACAATGTGTGGGAAGTGGGGTATTGTGCACGCGGAGTCACAATAAATGTCACTTTACACACAGCGTGATGAAAAAGTATAGAATATAGTCGAGAATTCAAATCGACACTTCCTAGTGAACTAAGGGCATTTCATTTTTGTTTTTAAAACAAGGGTATCTCAGAATTCCCTATAAAACTCATTTATCTCAATTTTCCGGGTAAAACTAATGTAATTCAGACGAAATAAAAAAAGACTTATCTCAGTAACTCTGATTAAATACTGTGCAACTGGTACTCATTTAATATGTATAATTCCCAGAGAATTCAGCAATTATTTTATTTTATTCCCATTCCTCAAACTTCACGATACCCCCATACAACTCAAATTCATGCAACTGTCGCAAGCATGAAAACGTAAGTGTTTGAGAATTAATTCCATGTGGCATGTGCCGATCACGATGTCGAAACAGATATCTTCGATACCTTCGAATTATTCCGATCCTACGAGACGCAGTTATGCACGTAAGTCCTGGCAACTCTCACTCTCTCAATTTCTTTTTCCTGTATTCGTATTTTTATTCCAAGTCATAGAATTGCAAAAATGTCCGTTCCAAAACTTCACTACACTCGTTTCAGGAGATGATTTCAATTTTCCTATTGATGAATTCTGGATTGATGATCTACCCACTCAGTTCTCCCGTTGAATCCTTGATGCGATCATTCCACTCGTCCCTCCCATTCATTTCATTAATTCTCTGGCATGAATCTCTTAACATATTATAAATTCACAATATGTCGACTAAATCGGTTAAACACTATTTAATCAGCGTTCACGGAATAATTTTTTCTGATTTCGTTTGAGTTAGACGAGTTTTCCCCGGAAAATTCAGATAGATTAATTTCATAGGGAATTCTGAGATGCCCTTGTTTTATTCGGAAGTGTCGATATGAGACTTCTCTATATAGTACCTCTCTATAAGATACCTCGAGCGCCGAGCGCTCGAGGCCTACCCCCACTCTCGACACTTTTATCATTATGTGGGCTCCTTATAAGATACCTATGGCCTCGATCATTTTTCAACGGGAAAAGAACGATTATATTATTCCATAAAAATTTTAATGTTCAATGACGAAATTTCTTGAAATTTCATTGGACACGCATGAAAAAATTTAATATAAAAATCTAGCGAATTCGCTGGACAATTCTGTTGGATTTCTATTGAACTTCTGATTACGTTTTCTCCGATTCTCTTGAAATATTCAATAGGACATATTCTATAGAAAAATTCTACTGAGATATTTTCTACAGCATTTTCTCGCTTCAAAATTTTCAATTTTTTTCCATTCTATTTTCCTCTTTTTTCATCAAAGAATTATCCAAAAAAACTTAGGAAATTCGAGCCGAAGAAATTCTATAGAAAAATATCTCAATAGAATAAATTCCATGAAAAACTCGAATTCTATTGACTTTTTCTATATAATATTTTTACTTTAACATTTCAATAAAATCAGTCTCAAACTAATAGAAAGTTCACCGAAAACCCAATAGAATTATCTAGCGAATGCGCTAGGTTTTTCTATTAAATTTTAAATTAATTAAGAAATTTTTTCCTACGTGGAATCATAAAGTGACAAAAATTCCCAAGAAGTTTAATTTTTTACTCCATAACTAAACCTTCTTCCAATATAAATTCATCCTACAATGTAACTAATGTTGATAATATTTCCTCAAGTCCAGAAATTCCCAGTCCCCTAAAAATCATAAGATGGATCGAGTTGTCAACGTTTTCGGTAGAATTATTATCACCCCTCGAGCAACAAATGAAGTAAACATTAGACAGTTGTTTAGAAAAAAAAAGAAATTGTTAAAAATGTCATAGTCGAGTGTGAACGCTTTTTTTGATTGTTCGGGTGTATTTCCTCCCCCTAGGAATGGATTATCCCTATTGCAGGGTCCAATCGTGCCTTGCACGCACGCTATGCTGGCAAAGTGGATACCACCGAATGAGAGGAGTAGGATGGGCGCCTTCGTTTACGCTGGTAAGCTTCAATAAATGAGACACCAAAAAATGACAAATTTTTCAGTTAAAACCACGCGATCCTCTCTCGTCTCGAGTCTTCCCCTACTACCTACCAATCTTCCAATCTGCACACGCACACACACATTCGAGTCATCGCGGGCCCACCGGATTATGGATTATGGAAATCTCTGGGACTGGATCATTTTTCGAAAAACAATTTTTTTTTTTAAATATTTTTGAGTCGATACCAGAGAGATTAATTGGCCTTTGTCAGAGACTAATCACACGTTTTCTTGTTTTTCTTTTTTTTTATTGGTATTCATAGGCGCACAGTTTGGAACTGTTATTTCGATGCCTCTGAGTGGGCTACTGTCCAAGTATGGGTTCGCTGGTGGCTGGCCGTCAATTTTCTATGTCTTCGGGGCCGTCGGCACTATTTGGTGCGTTGCTTTTCTCATCTGGGTGCATGAGGATCCTGAGCAGCATCCCAAGATTTCGGAGGATGAGAAGAAGTATATTCTTAGTGCATTGTGGGGAAGTGCTGGATCGTCTGTAAGTTGTTGTGAATTTTTTATTATTGTGCCCTTTTATTACGCTTCCATTAATTGTTTATGATCATTCTCATTGCAAAAAGCAATACGACCGATGAAAATCATATGTCCCAATTTATCAGCTGTTAAGTTTTCATATTACAATAAATGATTTGCGCATGTTCTAATTCCTATCCTCACTGAATAAGATTTTAATCATAATTACAATTCAATTCCTTCTAAAACATACTTTAGAGTGTGAATTTCTGGAATTCAATGGTTGTTGATACTCTGGTAAAAGTGCGTGCCCACACTGTTATCAATTTTTAGTTTGTTCATACGGTAATTCAATTAATCAGTTGTTCATCTCATCAATATAATTCCGGGCTTAGAATATTGTCATCTCGTGTTTTCAGCACCAAATTAAAAATTAAAACTTCATTTGGAATATTGGGTCACTTGTTCTTTTTATTCATATCAGAAATTTTGTATTTGGATATTAATATTATCTGTTCAAAGTGAAAAAATCGATCATCATTTTCACTATATTGCATTCAGATTCTCCTATCCTTAACGTCAAAAATGTGAGATAATCTCATAATTCTAGCTAGTAATTCTAATCAACTTTGTTCGAAGAAAACCTTAGTAAACGCAATATTAAGAAAGTAGAATTATTCTGTTTGCCTCTGACCTAAATGATTTGGACAATTATGATTCGTTTATTCATGTTTCATAGAATGGTATTCAATTCTCTTTTGCTTGTTAGGTGGGCTTAATGAAAATTCGGCGCGAGACGATTGTCCTCATGAAATCCGTCTTACTTTCTCCATTCGTTCGAGATATCCGCCATGTTTTTTTATAAAGGATTTTATAATCTCTGTTGATAATTGGTTTTTACCGGATTTTTTGTATTACTGGATATGAAAATTGGACGGAAAATATCGAAGACATTGGTTTTATTCATGAAAATAACTCTAACTTTTCAATTTTGCATGATTTTTCCAGATAAAAGAACATCTGCGCATTTTATTTGATGAAAAAATTTCATGAAATAACTCCAAAATTTTAGGATCCAGCTTTTCACTGGGAATTGCAAATAAATAAATAAATATTTGCTGTATGGTTAAGGGAAAATGTTTGAAAATATGAGAGTCCTCTGTAATTTCATGACGTAATGTTATAATTTGGTAAACGGAATGGAATCGACGAGCGAAATTTTGAATTATTTTTTTTTTTCATCAATTAATTAAATAAGTTATTAGTAATTTTTAATTGGAATAATTCTGTTTTCCTGAAAACTTAACCATAAAAAATTTCCAGGAGTTTTCGAAGATGAATTCTTCCTTTTTATTGTGAATATCAATTGATTGCGAATTCAATTTGAATTTCTAGTCTCCGCCTGTCCCCTGGAAGTCGATCATGACTTCTCTTCCGTTCTGGGCTATTCTCATGGCCCACATGGGACAAAATTATGGATACGAAACACTGATGACAGAGCTACCCACGTTCATGAAGCAAATTCTGCACTTCAACATAAAATTGGTAAATTTATTTTTCTATACATGAAGAATAACAACATTCAATCCAACACAATTCCTTAAAATAATATGAAATGATGAATGATATACAATAGGAGAGAATGATGTGTAGGATGACCATTCAGAAGAATATTGCTAATTTATTAGCAAAAATAGTTATTCTATATCAAGACAAAATGAATTTTCCACTTGTCATTTAATAATGTTACTGTTTTATCTATTATTTAATCCCATTCTTTTATCATTTTATCTAATTATCTATTCAGAATGGAGTTGTGTCAGCTCTCCCCTACCTCGCCATGTGGATATTCTCGATGCTGATCTCTCACGTGGCAGATTGGATGATCTCCAGCGGAAGATTCAACCACGGAAAAACTAGAAAAATCATAAACAGCATCGGTCAGTACGGACCCGCACTTGCTCTCATTGCCGCCTCATACACCGGATGCGACAAATGGCTGACCGTTGGCCTACTCACGGTAGGTGTTGGCTTCAATGGTGGTATTTACTCGGGCTTCAAGGTCAACCATTTGGACATATCACCGAGATTCGCTGGAATCTTAATGTCGTTTACCAACTGTCTTGCCAATCTCGCCGGCCTTCTTGCACCAATCACTGCTGGATATATCATCGTTGGAACGGTAAATATTTTTCAAAATTATTTTTTTATTATTACGACACAGTATGTTCCATCCCTCAAAATTTCACAATTTTTTAAATTGTGTTTTTCATTTTTTTAATGTTTTTATATTTCTAATTATTTATTCTTAATTTTTAATTGTATACTTTGAAGAAACTAAATCCAGTAATTAATGGAATTTTCTTCGTTGAAACGAAGAAATTAACGAAGAATATTAAAAAACTGAAAATTCAAGATTTCCAGAGATTTATAATTATCAATTATGAGATAGAGAAGTAATCATACATTATTTCAAGGCTTGTAAGTTTTAGACTATTTTATAATATGTCATTTATCAATTGTGTGAAGCCAAAAATCACTCATGCAACTAATTGTTTTTTTCATTTTTGTTAAATTCTAAATAAACTTTACATTGCACGTCTGGTAAATCATTGTAAAAACTGGATAACTGCCAATGTCAAGAGTTATATTTGAAGATGATTTATGACATTTTCATACAAGACGGATTTTCAAAATGAATAAAATGAAACAAAATAATAAACTGGTCAACTCTTAATGAACATAAAAACTTATTATTTTATTACGTCATCTGTATTCATTTCTGCATTAATTATTAATAACAAAAAATGAATGAGTTGATTATGTCAATCAATAAGAGCTATTTTTAAAGATGATCTGTGGCATTTTCATATAACGGAAATTTTTTAAAATAATTTTAAAGAGTTGAACTCTTAATGAACAAAGAAATTCATCACTTCATTTTTTCATTCCCATTAATCACGGCATTAATGCCCCATAAACAAATAAATTACTCAATTGTGTCAATCGCATTTTAATGGCTATTTGTTTTGTTTCATCATCAGCCATCTCAAGCAAAATGGAGGATAGTTTTCATGATCTCGGCAGCTGTCTACATAGTCTGCGCCACATTCTACACAATATTCGGTTCAGGGGAGAGACAACCCTGGGACAATCCAGACAAGGACGAGGAAACTCAGAAGAAGCAGAACGACGTTGAGGCGAACAAAGCGATCAATGAGACACAGCATTGACCAATCGCACAACACAGTCAATCCTTGTTATAACCATTATCTAATGTACAATACTTGTACACGCAGGCTGTGTGCGATTGTGTCGGCAAACTTCTCTTTCTTCTAATTTTTTATCGAGAAAACCATTCATTCCCTCCCTACACTTTTTTCGTTTTTTCACGTGCGAAATATTTTGTAGAAAAACCTAGCGAATTCATTAAAAAATTCTATAAAATTTTCATTAGTTTTTGTATAATTTATTTGCGCATTTTTTTCCAATAGAAATGTTTAATAGAAAATAGAATTTCACTTCTAGACAAATTATTCTCTTGAGACATTCTTATAATTTTCAAATTCTTTTCTTCATTTTTTCAATGAAATGAGGAACAAAAATTGAGAAAATTCTTGCAGAAAAAGTTGTAAAGAAAAATGAAATTTCACTGCTTTTTCAATCAAATAAAATCGGCCAAAAACTGATAAAATTTTCAGTAGAATTTCAATAAAGTTCAATGAAATTCGCTGTTTTTTAATGAGATTTTTCAGTGCGTGTTCTCTTGCATCGTTGTATTCTCTTCCATCGTTCGTCTTCCTAAGTTACAAAAAAAACAAAATGTGCGAACGTCGATTTGACAGATTATTCTGTAGCCTGACTCAATGAGAGAGAATTCATAATCATTGATTGAATTGAGGAAATGATTGGAGAATTCACCAATTGTGTAAATATTGATATTCAGGGGGAAATCTCGTGCTCAAATCCCTTGGGCATTAGATAATTGAGATGATATGAGCACAATAGCACGAAAAATATGATAAATTCATGTTACAATCGACGTTTGAGGCAGCAGTATTAGAGTAGAACGCCGCACGTTCGCCAATCTTCGGTTACATTGTTTTGTTTTTTTTTACCATAAACTTCTGCCATTTTTGTATTGTTATATGATACACGATTTCGTGATGGGGTATCAGCGACATGATCACCTGACAACAATATGAAGTGGTTTTATAAATAATGTAGATATAAATTTTCATAGGATCGTAATAAGTTATAGACTAGATGGATTATTAAATGTAGTTATTTATACGAATGGATAAAAAATGCAAAGTTCATCATCTGTTGGTTAATAATCAGTTCAGTTATTGTACGATAGAATGCATTTTTTCACATTTTTTATCGTTTTTATCCGTTTTTCTTCTCTCCTCAATGAGCACAAACTGCTTACGATGATGACTAATACCTTTTTGATTTTGTCTTTTTTTATATTGTCATTTTTGTGATGACGTTGCCGAGTGTGGAATTGAACAAATTGAGTGAAACCTTTTTCATATGCAATTTTGCATAGATTGTTCTTCCGATATTTTGCCAAAATATTATTTATCATCAATTTGGAGGTGTCAGTGACTAACACGTTCGGCTCGACATCTAATACATATCAAGTTGTTTGTGGATTCAATTTAAAGAGAATAAATATATTAACAGAGTGGAAAAAGGGATATTATTGGATTTTTGATGAACTAATGATTTTGGAATTTGATGAATTCCAAATATTAAAAACAGAAAAGTCAGTAGTGTTCATTTTGCCCCATCTCCTGATGAAAGTTCGATTACGGACACGATGTCGGAACTAGTTCAGTAAAGTCGTGTCCTTATTTTTAATACGTAATGAATTAATGAAAAATGTAATTTCCGTTGGAACAAATTTGATGATCATTCTTGTGGATGGATAATAAAACTATTGAACTAAATTCAATACTGATTTTTGAAGGTAATATTAAAATCTGTATTTTCGCAATGGCCTGCCTCCAAATTCAACTATCTTTTTTACAAAAGGAAAGAAAAGTCATATTTATGAAATGATGTACATAGTTGATGAATTTAATGACCCCATACAATGTTGTAAAATTATATATTTTTATTGTTGGGATTAAACATATGTGATAATAGAATTTTCCGGTAAATAAAACCATACCATCTTTCAGACGAATATTGTTGTTTAGTTCTTTGTTTTTTTATGCATGTTATTACCTGCATGTGTTCCTTTTCTTCAATCGTTTTTACCATCCCTTTTCCTCTTCCCTCAATGAGCACAAACGGCTTACGAT